CATTTTAACTATATCAAATGCTTTCTTGATACAGGTAAACCGTGGTCTTGGAAAATGTTACAGTTGGCCCCAAGAATATGCATTGAATGGTTGCACAAGTGGTGCTTCAGCAACATACTTCCTAGGCAAATCTCCATTTCCAGCTTTGGATGCATTTGTAGAATCTGTTGCCACCATTGGAAATGTATCAGGTGGTACCTTGTGGCCGGCATCAGAAAAGTTTGATAATTTTATGCAGTCACTTTGTAAATAACTTGCTGCTTCTCTAGGTAAAATTCGGAGCTGGTATTGGCTTTCAGAGTTTGCACTCATGGTCTACAGCATGTCAAGAAATAGATACTGTGAGCGAATTGGCAGACAGCATAAAAGCAATCACGGTAAATCTAATATGTTGTTGGTATCTTAATTCATGACTCAGATTCCTGTCTGCTTATACACACGTGAAAGTATTGTCAAGCCCTACGCTTTTTTTCTTATATGTAACACAGAACCTGCTAATGCGCGTGATGGTTCTATTGGTTAGTGATATACGTTGCCGACCTCAGAAGGGCTTCTTATTATCAGAAATGTCATGATCCTGACTGCAGAGGTGCAAAAAAAATTTCAATTTCTGTAAATATTTACCTATTTTTAATCTCCTTTAATCAATAAGCGATCACTTTCAACTTGCATATGATGGCGACAGGTTATCGTTCTGCCTCGCGACCAATTCCATGGGAAATCATCCCTGACATGGTGTATGAATATAAAAATGATCCTGAATCTGTTCTCTATGGTGATGAGAAAATGAGCAGCAGTTGCGTTACAGATTCATGGTGGCGTGAAGCCATTAGAGTTGCAGATGATGTCGAGAATAAGCAAAATTCTTTAGGGATCAGTAATATGGTGAGGCTACATTTTCTGAACATCTGTCCAAGTTTATCCTACTCTGTCTCTTTTCTGTTTAGTTTTGCTCACTGGGTGCAGTGAAATGGATGGAACCAATCTTCTCGTTTTCCTGAAATCTGATTTGTCTGAGTTTCTTCAACGAATAGGAAAACATTGATTCCGATGATGAAGACTGGTGGATGGCTGTGGAAAGGACTGCATCCCAAGCTGAATTAGCGCATGTCAACTGATTCGAGGTCTAGTACATTGCCTGGCGATCCTTCCGGATATTTGGTTCTGCAGCATTTCGTCGTGGAAGACGGAATTAACGACCATTTCCTACATGTGGTCCTTATGGGTTATGGCCCCGTTTGTTAGATGGTACTAGAAAAGCTAGGAAATCACCACGGTTGATTTCGAAGAGAGAATTATTTTCATTACACACAATTTTGAGAGACATTACCCAAACCCATAATTTCAAGAATGGAAAAATTGTTGCCCGTGGTCGTCGGAGTGCGTCACTTATGGATCCCCATCCTCTACATTTAGCGCTTGTGCATTTACCCACGTTAACATAACGTGACATAGAGAGATCAGTTTATGTGACACTTGGCAACCAAGATTTTTCTTTCCTTGAATAAACTAATATAAAATAAAATATAACTAATTAGACATTATTGCTAGATAATGTGTCATATTTCAAAACTGTTAAATTATTAAGAGTGGTCGAATATGACAATATGAATAAATGCACAAGACTCGGAATCCCTATATATGGGGCACTCAACCAAACAAGCTACAAATTAAGAATAAGAACCCTATTGGGAAATCATCAAAACACAAACAAGTGACAATTAAGAGTAGCAACTCAATGGGGAATTCATTCATATGCAAACAAGTCACAATTGTAGAATACCAGGCATTCCTACAAACAGTTAGCAACCAAGATTTTTCTTTCCATGAAATCATTTGACCTACTTGGCTTCTTGCATCCCTGATTCACCAGAACCCATACAATTTAAGTATTAATTTTTATAATTAAAAAAAAAGGGATAAATTGAAATTAATTAATTTTGTTCTGGGTTGGGTATGTTTGCTTCTACGGTACGGTACCTTTGTAGCCAAATAGTCGGTGAAGCTAGACTTAGTCTTGAGAGCAACTCCAGCGTGGGCTGGCGCTCGGGGGACGGGGGACGAAATAGGGCCGGATAGCTCGGCCTTGAAGCTCCAGCGTGGGTATTTTTTTCTGTTAGGCACGTGCGACTCACCCGTGCGTGGGGGCGCGTTAGCCGACAGCTTTTCAGAGTATGGGGCCCGTGTCGTAGTCTGCCGAGGTTACCGTTGGGAAGCCACGTGGCTTCCCACGATCCGTTCGATCTCAACGGCTCTTTAAATTGGACCGTCCGATTTGCAACGGTAATAAAAATAAAAAATCTTATTTAATATCAACCGTTGGATCTGAGATCAACGGTTGATATTATTCTGCTTTATAAATAAATAAATAAAAGAAAAAATAGTTTTAAAATTAAGAAAAGTTACCGTTGTGACATGTGGCACAATTTGGAGTGTTGGAATTCAATTTTTTTTTAAAATCCAACGGCAGAGATTAATTAGTTCAATAAAAAATTTTAAAAATTGTAAAAAATCTGAAAAAAAAATCTAAAAAATTTTAAAAATAATTGTTTTTACTTTTCTATAAATACCTTCTCATTACCATCTACCTTACACCACAATTTCATATTTTCTCAACTACTTTCAATCAAATTCCTATCTTTCGAAATCCATCACCAATAATTGTCTTTTCGGGTAATGACACGTGGCGTAACGAGAACGATTGAAAATCTAATCGAAATCTATCCTCAAAGATTTTGAAATGATAAGGACACGTGGCACGACAGGATTAGATAAAAATCTTATTGAAATCCATCACCAATAATTGTCTTTTCGGGTAATGACATGTGATGCAACGAAAACAATTAAAAATCTGATCGAAATCTATTCTCAAAGATTTTGAAAAAGTAAGGACACGTGGCACGACGACATTGGATAAAAATCATATCGAAATCCATTACCAATAATTATCTTTTCAGAAAATGACACGTGACGCAACGAGAATAATTAAAAATCTTATCCGAAATTATAAAGAAAAAATTATTCTGTATTATTTAAAAAAAAATTATATTTTATTGCCTATTGTCAGAACTATTCAAGTGCAATAGTGGAGATAAAAAGATAATTACTGTTTATTAAAAATAATTACTGTTTACATAGCAAATTGAATGACAAATAGGCTGGGGAGGGCTCCCACGTTGGAGTTGCTCTGAAGCAGCACCCGCAGCTCGAGCATTTACCAGTCCTCTGTCCTTTTGATGAACTTGATGTTAGGATATAGCCATGTGTCACAATTGTATTGAAGGTTCTTGGAGTTAGTCATAATTGAAAGCCATGTTTGCTTTTATGGTACGGTACCTGGATAGCCAAATGGTCAATGAAGCCGAACTCAGTCTTGAAGCAGCAGCTCGAGCATTTGCCGCAGTCCTGGTAGCTGTCCTTCTGAAGACAGCCACCAGGACTGCGGCAAATGCTCGAGCTGCTGCTTCAAGACTGAGTCCGGCTTCACTGACCATTTGGCTATCCAGGTACCGTACCATAAAAGCAAACATACTCAACCCATACTGAACATAATCAATTAATTAATTTATTTTATTTTTTCCCTTATTATTTTTTAATTATAAAAATTAATACTCAAATTGTATGGGTTTTTGTGAATCAGGATGCAAGAAGGCCAAGTACATCAAATGATTTCATGGAAACAGTACTATAATGTGGTTAAGGCTCTGAACCATTGTTAAAATGCCTAACATAGTGTTACTATTTTTAAGATTGCTAACTGTTTGTAGTAATGCCGCATGGGGTGGTATTCTACCGTTGTGACTTGTTTGTGCTTGAATGAATTCCCCATTGAGTTGCTACTCTTAATTGTCACTTGTTTGTGTTTTAATGATTTCCCCACAGGATGATTTTTGGATAGAGTTCCTATTCTTAATTTGTAGCTTGTTTGGTTGAGTGCCCCGTACATTTTGCACTTGTGCATTTATTCGTATTATCATATTCGATCACTCTTAACAATTTAATGCTTTTGAAATGTGACACATTATCTAGCAATTATATCTAATTAGTTATATTTTATTTTCTATTAGTTAGTTTATTCAAGGAAAGAAAAATTTTGGTTGCCAAGTGTCACATAAAGTGATCTCTCTGTGATTATATTTGGGTTATCTACAATCTCTTTTTGGTTTGGATATTGGAGCTTGATTCCTCTCATGAAGGTGGGTCACAATTATTACTACTTCCCTTATATATGAGGCTGATATCTCTGCATTTAAATTTTCATGGAGTCTAAATATAGACACCATATATGGGTTTTGATTTCTGTTTCTTAACGTCATATATAATTTCATAGCGAGGTTCTTGAAGTTGATTGTCACTTATGGTTATACTTTCGTGGAGCAAAGTTCTCTCGTCACCCAATCATTCACATAGAAAAGACTGCTTTTAAGGACAACTCTCATGCAGGTGCATTTGTCACTGAGGTATCATTTCATTATGATATTTGTACGTTGTTTCTTAGGATGTCTTTTGCTCGATCAAATTTAAAAATGGGAATTTATTTCATTACCTATAGCTTCTTTTATTGTGATGAACAGAAATCTGCTGCATTTACTACGATTTTTCCTTTTTATATTCCCTGTAGAAATATCAACTATTGTCACTGTGTGATGACATATTATCAGATATGCTCACGGATTTCAAGTGCAAGGGAGAGAGATGGAAGATTTGGAAACTTATTTAACAGAAAAGATTCAAGCTCCTGTGACTACCCTAGTAAACTATTTGTGGACACTGCTGTATATACCCGAAATCGTTGCTTTCATTTAGCTCTATCATCAAGGGCTAGGAAGAATTCAGTTCTTCTGCCTACTGGGCGTTTCAAAGCCAACAAGATGGTATTGCCGCCCTTCTGATTAATATAATAGTTGGACCCTGGAGCTTTGTTAGTGGTATTTTGAATTTTTCCTTGACTACATAATGTTCTAATCGTATAATCAAAGTTATGTTATTTAACAGCAGTGTGAGGAGGAGATGTTTATGGCATCCTTGATCTGCAATTTGGATGTCGATTGTGAGAAGCTTCTAGTATGCAAACCAGATCTTGATTGTATAAAGACTCTGCATTTTGACACCGAGGTAATTTGGATTCAAAAACCGTTCCACACTCTTGATTCTTACAAATATGAGCTAATTATAAGCATATTGAAAGTAGGGCTTTTAACTATACTACAGGTAAACAGTAGTCTTCGAAAATGTTACAGTTGGCCCCAAGAATATGCATTGAATGGTAGCACAAGTGGCGCTTCAGCAACATACTTCCAGGGGAAATCCCCGTTTCCAGTTTGGATGCATTTGTAGAATCTGTTGCGACCATCGGAAATGTATCAGGTTGTACCTTGCAGCCTGCATCAGAAAAGTTTGATAATTTTCTGCTGTCACTTTGTAAATAACTTGCTGCTTCTCTAGGCAAAATTCGTAGCTGCTGGTATTGGCTGTCAGAGTTTGCCCTCATGGTCTATAGCATGTCAAGAAATAGATACCGTGAGCGAATTGGCAGACAGCATAAAAGCAATCACGGTAAATCTTATATGCTGTGGGATATCTTAACCCATGACTCAGATTCTTTTCTGCTTATACACACTTGAAAGTATTGCTTGATGTGGTCTGTACATCTGCACTTTGTCTGGAACTTCCTGAGTGCTTTTTCTTATATGTAACACAAAACCTGCTAATATGCATGATGATTCTATTGGCTAGTGATATACGTTGCCGACCTCAGAAGGGCTGCTTATTATCAGAAATGTCATGATCCTGACTGCAGAGGTGCAAAATATTTCAATTTCTGTATATATATGTATGTGTGTGTGTGTGTGTGTGTGTGTGTGTGTGTATTTACCATTTTAATCTCCTGTAATCAACAAGTGATCAGTTTCAACGGATCATCGGAGTGTGAAGCGACGAAGAAATCACCATGGTTGATGTGCAAAGAAGAGAGAAGCTAGAGAGGTCTGCACATTCCTATCGAAGAGATAGAACTAATTTCATTACTTGAACTGGTTTAATTCCAGATATATATACAACAATTATTACAATTTATTAAAAACTAAACACTATTAATTAACATTAATACAAATTAATGACTTAATTGTTTAACTTAATCATGGCTGAGCTGGCACTTAACTGAGCCCTTAACTGAGTGAGTAAGAGCAACTCCACCTACTAAATTGCCAAAGTAATTACTGCCTATCCTATTATTGAGCAAGGCAATTACTACCAGTAGTAAATAGTAACGGTCCAAGTGCACAAGTCTAGACAATTCGTATTAAAATATAATGTTTTATAAAACAATAAAAGATAATTTTATTTTTAATTTTAAATAAATTTTTTAACCAACCTCGTCATGTCACATGTTATCCGAAAGTACAATATTTGTGGATAGAGTTTTGATAATATTTTTAACCAATTCAGTGGCACCACGTGTTACGATCTGTTTAGAATCCTTGTGGATAGATTTCGATAAGATTTTTAACCAATCACAACGTGCCACGTGACATTATCTATAACCTCATCATTTTTTTCCCCATATAAACCCTACATCCATCCTAAAGCCACACATCATAATCAAAAAGCTCTCAAAATCCTTCTTCATAGTTTATAAATCTTGAGTTCTTACAATGTCTTTTTCAGTAGCACTTACTCCAACTGGAAAATGCTTATACACATATCACACCAATAAAGGCTTTGACGATCACCAAAACAGCACTCACTCCAACCGTGGAACGTGCTCCAAGTGCAAATTTTACTTCCAACAAATCGACATTTACAAACCACTTGATTTTTGAGGTAAACAGCAAAGATAACCATAACTAATCAATTCATTTTTATCATATATATATATGTATATAATTAATCCAATTTGTATGTATGTTATGTATGTTTTCTGTATAGAGGTGCAAGAAGGCAAGATTTCTCAAGTGAATTTCTCTCAAGTTGGAGAGAGTTGGAGTGAGTGCTCTTTTGGTGATCGTCAAAGCCTTTCTTGGTCTAAAACTAAAAGGTCTTTGTGCAGATGCGACAAACAAAGGTTTGGGAGGTCATACTTTCCTTCTCCCCATCTTTCCCATCGTGCTTGACTGTGAAGCTTTCTTGCCCATTTTCTCTCTCTTGATGCGACCTCAAATGAACAACATATAGAGGGTAGCACTGTGACTCTTTGCGAGTATTTAATGGCTTGTTTGGTATTGTATTTGAAATTTTTTTTAATTTCTCAAAACATTTCTTAAGAATTTTTCTTGAAAGTAATTTTTTTTAAGACTTAAAAACTTATTTGGTATGCAATTTAAAAGTTTTGAATCTTACAACTTAAACTGAACAAAGAAATCTAAAAAGAGGGGGTCAAGAGAGAAAGGAGAGAAGAGGAAAGAAAATAAGAAATGATTGGAGAAAAGAGAAAGAAGTGAGTGTTTGAGATAAAATCTGAACTTTGGGCCAGAGAGAAAGTCGGCCCAAACCCAAGGCCCAGAGGAAAACTTAGGAGGCAGGAAAGAGGCTTTCGGCTGGGCACAAATTACAAAGGCCACCTGCTTACCTGCTCAAAGACCACAGGGGGTAGGTTATTCAATCACTGCACAGCCCAATAAAGTACTTTATTGGTGGCATTCATGTAAAAAAGCTAGTGAGTCATCACCAAACCGCATTCGGGCAACCGCCATTGCTACAGGAATCCAAGCTGAATCCGTCTATAAAAGGAGGAAGAGAAGACAGAATTAGGGACACTCAAACAAACAAACAAAAGCCAAAACTCTGCTCAAGCCAGATTTGCCTTTAACAAAGCTGTAGTCAGCACAAGCCTTCATCCCGTTCGGGATAAACCTTCCCAAACCCCTGTAATAGCTCTGCTACCTTGTTCTTGGTGGTATCGATTCATTTTGTATCCTATTCTCCCCCATCAACCCTTCTGAAAGCTTTCAGACCTCTGATAGAGCCACAAAGATAGATTTTGTAAGAAGTTCAGCCTTGGCCGATAAGGTTCAAACTTGCCCGACTATCTTTGCTCTGTCTTTGTCTTTTCTTTCTTTTAAAAGCACAATAACATGTTAAATATTCTCAGTTATATACAAGTTATTTCTGGCAAAATCACAATGAAAATGAGTCTTCAGCACTTGAATCTGATCTGAATCACGTCAGAGTTTAGATCAGATCTGAGGCTTAAGCCCGCGGGCATGTAATTTAAAGATCAGTTTAAAAGTCCTTGGCCTCAAGGCATAAAAAAGAACTCTATGTGGACTCAACCCATCCACGACGATCCTTGATAAGCGAGAAGTCCGAAGTTACTTGGGGCGCAAGTAATCAATCTATTTCTCCGTTTTGTTGCTATTATATCTTGATTCGTAGAAAAGGCTTAAGCATAGAGTGAATTCTGATAGAAAGCCTCAAGGCCTACACCTAAGGCCCCACGAAGGCATCTATTTAGCTTCATTTTATGTTGCGGTCTAGTTGGTCCAGAGTATAAGGATTAACTCTGATGGGAAGCCTCAAGGCCTATACCTAAGGCCCTACAAAGGCACTCATTTGGGTTCGTCCTACCTCTTGGATTCAGATAATCAAAGGTATAATAGTGATAAAACTCTGGCAACCATAAAAGGCCAAATATGATACATCCAAGCGCTGGTTTAGTTTGACAGGAAGCCTCAAGGCCTATACCTAAGGCCTCACAAAGGCACCTGTTATATCTAACTCGGTTTCTCGGGCGTATACATATTCAATCAAAGCTTAAACACCCATTCAACATCTGCCATACTGAAGATGGCAGTGGCACGCCTGAGCACGACAAAGTTAATCTTGATTGTGAGCCTCAAGGCCTACACCTAAGGCCCCACAAAGGCACCCTTTCAAATTAACTCTGTCCTTCTCTTTCAGAACTGCCCGACGAGCCTTGCCCGAAGTGTGTCTTGCCCGACCAAGATTTGCCCGACGAAGGCTTGCCCGAGCAAGCCCGAGAAGAAAGCAGGAGTACGACAGATACCCTCAACCGACGCCATTCTCCCAGGGGAGCTGTGTGCTCGACCGCCAGGAGATTCCTGCGACGAACATAGTTTTGGCACGCCCGGTGGGACCAAACTGATCTGAAGATAAAGATAACCATGCCAGAAGATTTACAGAATACTTTGTTTCAAATGCTACAGAGACTGAATGAAGCCTCCCTAGGCTCTAGAAATGAGACAGGTTTGGCTCCTCCCAAAGGAGAAAGACACAGGACTACCCAGCCAGATGAGGTAGTCATAGTCAACCCCGTGTTGCCCTTTTTTTGAAGCCCCGGTAAACATGCTCAACATGACCTGGGCAGAGAAAGGAAAAGGGAAAATTATAAGGGAAGAAGAAGAAGGGAAACTAGCCAAACGACCTACGGAAGGGATAGGCAAACCATCCGAGTACCCAAAGGCTGCCATAATCAAAGGGGCTGGTTATGTGTAGTAAATGCCAGTGTGAATGTGAACTCGAGATTCCCCCAGCTGGAGTCCTTATTGATCACGAGTTAATTAAAAGAGAAGCCCGCGAAAAGCTTAAGCAGGCAACAAGAAAAAATACTTCCCGAAGCGTTTTTCAACGTTTAGGAGGTGATTCCTAACCCAAGGCGTTGTCAGAAGTATTTCGAAACTATGAAGTTTCTGACGAGTTTTCGAAACTATGAAGTTTTCTGACGAGGCAGAAGATATGAAAGCCAAACTCCAAAGAAGTACAGAGCAGCTTCAAAATGGCCAAAAGGGGAAGGAAGTCAGAAGAACTGATGGGATAGCTAATCTTGTTAAGAAAGCAACTCCTGCATATCGTGGGCGGAAATGGTATGTAGTTGGAAAAGATGGGCAGCCTACCAGACCAATGGGAGCATCCATGGTCAGAAGGGTTCAAAGGTAGCACAAAGCCTACATGAATTCCCTGATGACCCCCATCACCTCTGAAGCCTCAAAAAATCAAAAGCCAGAGAAAGCAACATCTGGAAGTAGTAGTCAGCTTCGTTGGCGAAGTAAGAAGGAAGTAGAAAGGGCCAACAGCAAGACGGAGGGTATGGGGAATCATGTGCCACAAAGCCATCACCCTGGCAAATATAGGATCTTAAGAAGGGCTCAGGAAGATCCGACTATGATGCCAACACCTGGTTGGAGGCCAGGGCCCACCCATGAGGAAACTGTTGCATCTGAGAGGAGACCAACCTTTCTGCCTTTGGATCCGTTTGGTGAAGTTCCAAAGCAAGCGCTGTACGGAGACATGAATCAACCACAACAGGAAGGGATACCAGAGCCCTTATTACCAGCCGATGCAATGGCCTGGTTAGACGAGTTCATGGATCACATTGGGAGCAAGAAGGAGGACTTGCTCGAACCCAGCAACTTCCATATCAACATGACGTATGTATTATCCGCCATGTTTGGCGCCATGACTGACCAGCCCGCTACTATGGAAGGTGATTATTTAACAACTGAGCCGATGATGGCTCATGTCAATGTGGAGGTAGTTACAGAGGAAGACTCAGACGAGGTTGAATCCTTAAAAGTACCTAAAGGTGGTCCCATACGGATTTACACAGATAAAATGGTGTTCAGCCGCCCAAGTATTTCGTTGGCCAACCACCTGAAGCCTATATACGTTTCAGCTCATCTGGAAGGTGTACCTTTCAAAAGAGTTTTGATTGATGGAGGAGCAGCTGTTAACATATTGCCAGCCAAGCAGATGAAGAGGATGGGGAGAAGCACTGAAGATCTTATTCCCACAAACCTTACAGTCTCGAGCTTTTCAGGTGCTATCACCAGGACTCATGGGATATTAC